GAGGTCAACAGTGATCACTGACTGCTTTAGGAGCTTTTTGAGATTAAATAGAAGAAAATACAAAACATTAAACATGTTAACAACACAAAAGCCATATTAAACGCAGACTACTTTAGGCCCGGAAGTAGGATTCGTCACGTCATCACTTAATGACCGGATAAGAATTCTACAAGTAACTCTTACTATTTACGAATGGTTGCTATATGGAGTAAATACACAAATAGAAACATCTTTGTATGTACATAAAGTGCATTGGGAGTGGCAATATGTAGTCCTTTGTGTTTGCATGTGTGTACAGTACAGTCTAGTCTGACTGCTGTCAGGATGAAGAATCTGTGATAGTGTGCGATGAACATCACACTGTTTGGATTTTCACGGAAAACTTCATGCTAAGCCCTTAAATTAAAAAAAGAGAAAATTATTTTAATACATGAAAAAGTTACATAAGTGTTTCTGTGTCTACTTATGTTTTATTTAATTCATTTAGCTAATTATGTTTTGTGTCTCTTCTTTGTTGCTTACTGTCAGGCTTGCTTTTTTTTGTCTCATTTTGAAGTAAGGCCATTGGTTTACACCAGTTTGCATTTGTTGCGTGTCTGTTTTCTGTGAAGTTAGTTTTCGTCTGTTTGTGGTTGATTATTTTGTTTTCAGTCCTTTTATTGTTTCTGCAGTTGCATGCATCTTCCTGTTTCTGTCAGCACGAGTAGTTCTGCGTCATTTTCTTTATATTTGTTGTTTTTCCAGAGCATTCTGTGTTACTTTGAAGCAGTCTGTTGGAGTGCATTTACCCTTTATTGCCTGATAGTGTTACAGCCAGAGAAGGGCCTGCTGTGAATTGGCCTGTCTGGATGTGTCCTGGCTACTCTTTTGTCCTCTTAGCTGCTACTTTGAACATTTTGGAGGCCAGGTACAGGAGAGCTCCAGTATCAGAAAGCCTTTACTTTCTAGCTTGTGAGCTATGCGTTTTGACTCTTGCTTCATGGAGAAGAAGGGATAATAAAAGTTTGATATTTTGATATATTTGTCCCTTTTTTCCCAATCCAGTGCCCTTTTTGTTACTTCCACCACCTAACAACGGGCCTATGGAGTAGGTGACAGTGATATGGATAATAAGAAATAAATTCAAATATGAAGGACGGTAACTCGTAGAAATATAGATCAAAATCTGGTCCCCAGTTGTAAATTCAAACCTCTCTGTCAAAAAGGATTCTTACCACAACAATATGCACACATACACACATGTGTTTGTGTGTGTCCCTCAGCATGGTGTTAATGCTCTCCAGCTGCTTTGAGGAGGAGATATGGGATAAACACAGCAGCTCATGTCAAACAAAACCTACATTAGCATCTTATTACAGGTGAAAGTACTCACACTGGGCGGAGATCCTACAAACACAATCAGAAATGGCACCAGAACTTTTACAGCCTCCTCCATGTGTGTGAAAACAAATCATACTTTTTTATGAAATCCAATATTTATCATTTTAAACACAAGAAACATGCCTTGACTTTTCTGAACCAGAGTGAGTCCTATTAAGTCAACGGACATTGAATGAGTCCTTATAAGGAGTAATAGCCATTTTATTTTAGCTATTATTATTTTGTCATTAACGACTCAGATCAAGGTACTTCTGACATCCTCAAAACAATGTCAGTTATTTCAGGGGAAACTATAAAAATAGGCTACAAGTATCTAGGTTATTATATACCCAGTGCATCAATAGAGACCACTGACAAAGACCAAAGGAAGAATTGGTTCTTGAAAAAGTGGGTTAACATCAAATATGGACCCAACATCAAATGTTTTCGAAGGAAGCTGTTGTTCGAGGCTAATTTGAATGTAATTTAATGTGTCTGTAGGGATGGACTAGATTTTTGCATACTAATCTAATTATGGGGCAATCCTTTTGTGAAGTCGTACTCTGGGAGGTCACAGCTCCAAAATAAAGACGTGAGAAAAGTGGGAAAGCAAAGTGAGAAAAGCCCAACAGACACAAAGAGGGAAGAAAAATGACCGATGGGGAGTAATTCATCTCCTTTTATCAATCTTGACAGCACAACAGAGCGACTTTTACCCTACTGAAACAATACCACTAGTTAGAGCACTGCAGGACATGCCATTAATTAAAAGAAGAGAAAGCTATCCAACTATAACGTCAGTACGCTTTATAAATGAAAGGTTATTCATCTAGTTTGAGTTTTAGACAAGCTCAGAGTAGATAAATTAAGAAATTGTGGAGGCAAAGTATTATCAGCATTCGTATGTGAGAAGCCTTGCGATATAAAAACCATCAAAAAATGACAGTTCAGTCTAGTACCTTTTTAGTGTTAGCTTAAAAACTAAAGCTAAGCTAAAACTTGTATAACCATAAAAAAATAAGCCTCAAAGCCAGTGATAACCAAATAGGATATGTATCATGAATAAAGTTTATTTAAGTTCATATTTAAAGAGTATAAGCAAAATAAAAAGCTTGAGCTGTGCTTAGAGTATCACACAAATATTGGTCTTAGAAAAAAACGTGTTTCGCACAGATTTGCTAACCTAGCTTCCTACTTTAATAGAAATTTGTCTTTATTTCTCCTTCTTTATCCCACATAAATTAAGTATCACATTTAATAGCAGACATGTTTTATACATATTCACCACATACAGATAGAAATCGAGCAGATTCACCAACTAAAGTTAGGAACTATCTTCACTGTTATGTAGCATTATGATGTTTAGCAGTTAGCTACATTTTGATTGCTTTAAATGTTTATGTAGCTTATTTAACTGTTATAGTGTATTCAGGTGGCTCAGAATCTTTTTAGCTAAAATAATTCACACAAATTTACTAAGTTTTTTTGAAGTGCCTTAACCTAACCAAGTAGTTTTTATAATATAAACATGAGGCCTTGATTATACTGTACAGGACATGGACAGTTAGAGACGCAGTAGCCCTTCTTGTCAAACTTAAGGGCAGGTTTGCCTCAAGCATGCCTCCTGGAGCAGATGGGCAGCTGACACTTTGTAATCTGAAGTCTGCATGGTCACAGAAAATTGGCAGTCCTGCTTGTTTCCTTCTTGGGCCCAAGCAGACACTAGTGGACTTGTAGATTCAAAGTATAATCAAGGCTTAAACGTGTTTTTTTTTTAAATAAAAACACTAATAACATTAGTGTTTTTATGTTACCATAACTAGGACCTCAGTTTATGCTCACATAACCACAGACTGAAATGAAAGTAAAAGCGAGGGGGAATTAACTAACTTGAAAACACAAAGGTCTCAAAATGCATTTCTTTTTCTCCCGGTTCTCACCAGCCACCACAGTCCCAAGCTAGCGTGTCAGAGCATGATGCTAAAGGACATTGTACACATAACTGGGAGACACAGGAGAAATTTGATAAAGCTGCATTATAAAACGCGTTGGGATAACCACACGTAGTTTTTGCAGCACCACCAAACTTCTTTTACGCTCCAGTAGCTACCTGGTGGTCTGGTGAGCAGATTTCAACAAGAACTTGTTTGTGGACTTCATTGTGTCAGAGAAACATCTCCCATCCTCCCAGACAGAGTTGGAGGCCCTCAGTGTGTTGCTATACCTCGCTGTGCATCAGTCCGAGCAGGACAAAAGCATTGGCGCCGTGACAAACGATTCAACAAACTGGTGACCTGCTGCTTTCACATTGATTAATGCATACACACACTTGTTCCCATGCTGTCTGCATGTTCTGAATGTTAATCACCATCCTTCATCCTCTGTTTGTCAGTCTGATGTTCAGCGTACTCTGTAGAACTGGAAAGGAATTTAAAAGCCTTCCAAAATCCAACAAAATTGTTCTCTGATGTTCCACAAGGGTCCATTTCTGGACCTCTGCTTTTTCTTTCAAAGGAATACAAGTATTTTTTTCTAGACTGAAGTAGTTAGTAGGCACTGTATGGGTACATATCACCAAATATGAATTGTATTTATCAAAAACTATTTACCAATGTTCCCTTGCTTATCATTAAAATTTTTATGTTTATTTTTGATTGCAAGTCTTTACTTATTGTCTATTCTCTTTGTTATGCTAACTGTTATTATTACACATATGTATGTTTATATATATGTGTAATACATACATGCATATATGTATGTGTGTGTTCTTCAATTGTAGAGAAGAAATCTGCTGTTCTTTAAAATGTAAAACTCATATTACAGGAAAAATAAACAGCAAAACAGAAAAATTAAGTAAAATTAACTTAAAAAAGCTATTTTTTTTTTAAACTTTTATTAGTAACTCTGAGTATAAATGAAGGGAACAGCTAATGTAGCTTTCATATAAATTCCTATAATCCTATCCACTTTTACTGAAACATGTTTATTTGCTTATAATCTTTTGTCACTTAAAAAAAATGCTTTGTTAAACTATCTGAGGCTGAAAACTTTAATTTGCTATTTACTTGGAGCATTTAATTGCATTTTTAGTGTGCTCTCTTTTATAGTGTGGTAAACTATTCTGTTGTTATTGTGCTGCTACTTTATCGGCACACGTTCTTTGGCGGTTTCACTCCCTGCTGGTCTGGTTTTATTTTCATTCATCGCCACAGCAGAACAGTGAAGTCTCAGAAACATACCCAATAGCTTAAATTAAACCAAATTTGGGGGTTGTTCGTTTTTTGCCTGCATCTTAAACTGTATGACATATGCATAATATACTCTGCAAAATGACTGGAATCTGCTCTGGAGTCCTAGAACGTGCTTTTAAAACAAACGGCTGCTTTTAGGAACAAAGAAACACATGTTTGAGATTTCTGTCTTGTTGCTGTCGACACCTTTTGCTGCTCAGCTTCCTGTCACAAAGGCAAGCTTGTTAACAAAAAGGGCACACACACAAACAGCACAAGCTGTAAGCAGAAGGTTAGATAATAAAAATATCTTTAATCTCTTTAGTATCTACAAAAATCACTTTCTATACAGAATATTTTAAAAAGAAAGCAGAAAGCCAAAGAGTTAAACGTCTTCCATCAAAAAATAGTAAATAAGTCTTAACATATTGCTTATAATCTCAATTTTCAGCCTATTTCAGATCTTTAATTACAAGAGTTTCGTCATTTCAAAGTACTGGTAAGTTTCAAGTAAATCTTTCTAAAATGGACAAAAAACAACAATGTGCCCTTTAAGTTGGATATTTAATGAAAAAGTTACGTGATTTTGATAAAATGTATGTAGTCGTACAACAGCACACATGGTTCCTCAGTAAGGCTTTATGATACCAGTTTAACTAAAGTGCATTGATTACAAATAAGGCAATGCTGGTAATTTGTACCAGTAAGAGAGAAAGCAAGAAAAAAAAATCAGTGGTGAGAGGCAGTGGTTCAAATATAATAACACAGAGAAAATCTGTTAATAAGAAAAAAGCTACCATCAGAGTTTATGTTAAAAAGCTAATGCATAAAAAAAACCCCATCAAATCACAAAGATCACCCACTAACTTCAAACTGATTTTTTTCCAGACTTTAAAAAGTTGGCGGCTGCTTCTGTTTCTTTTGGTTGATGTAAACCTGCTGAAATAAAAAAAGGCCTCTGGTGTTCCACAAGGCTCGATTATTGGATGTATGTGTTTGGACTGGCACTCTAAAACGACTGGATAGCTAAATATGAAAAATTTGCACAGATAACAGCAGGGAGCTTTTCTGTCCAGAGACCGTTGTTATTTAATATTGTTATTTATTACATTTTGGTTTTCTTAAGTCATGCTACAATCCCTTGATTAGCAAAGAAATGTCAAATATGTGGGGGAAAAGACTTCATAATTAAACTTTAAGTTTCTGTAGATGCCCAAATTAAACCTTGAAGCAAAAATGTAGCACTTATTTTACAGGACACCATCACAGAACCTTCATTTTTGATAAATGAACAAGCAGTGATATAGTTAAATTATTAACTCGACTCAAAACAGTCTTACAGTCAGCTATCTGGCTTGGTTAGGATGGCACGTACCACTACTGAAAACGACCAGGTGAAGTCAGGAGGTTGAACAGGCTTTGCATCAGTCGCTCCAGGTATGACTCAAAACTAGCTGAGGAAGTCTATATTGACATAAAAGCGTGCAAATTGAGTAAACATGCCAGAAAATGAGCATCGATTGTTTGGAAATCTTTTCTGTACACGCTCATAAATCTTAGAGTCCATGTGTTTTGGGGAGGTGGTGTTGTTCTACAATGATGAAGGGTTTCTCCACACGATTACGACAAATGGGAAGCAATGTGGAGGGCAGATGTGAATCCAGAGTTTTGCTCCCTTCATCATTGAGATGTGAGCACATTACCAGATTTACATGCAAAGTGGCGACACTTGTGGCTTGTAACTTCTTTCGGTTTGGGGGTTTTATGGGAAGCGCCATTTCAAGCTCTGACTTTGACACGATGCTCAGTCGTCCCTTAAATTCGAAAGAACAGCCGATTGATTTGAACTTTTCCCGTGTGACTTTGGCACAATTTATCCTCGTGCTGCTCTGCTCTCAATTCATGTCTGGAAGGATTTGTCTTGCTGTCATTTTTTATGGTTTTATTGTGCACCAAGCTCTTTGAATGCCCGTTTACAGGACAACTGTTTATTTATTGTTTTAGGCATGCTCTCTAATGTGGCTCCTTCTCTGTGTTTGCGATCATTCGGTCATGAAAATACTTTGATTTGTTTTACATTTCTGACTGTAAACTCAAACTCTCTAAAAAAAGAGGTCAAAGTTCAGGGAACAGGAACTCCCTAAAAACAGAAGTCACTTAACAAAGAAATTTGAGAATGACGATTTTGTGGAAAGGGGAATATGATTCAGAGGTGGAGGATTTTATGCAATTCGAGCCTCGACGGAAGCTGCTGAGTGACTCTGACTCCAAATTCAGTCTGTTTGCAATTATGACTAAACCGGCTGGAAGGCAGAGTTTGGTGGAAGGAGACGTGCATTCCTGCGGGGCGGCGAACATCGGAGGAGCCGGGTCACGCCAAGGTGAACGAGACGGGGAGAACCAGGCGTCGTGCCCGTCGAGTGTCTCCTCTGATAGCTCACAGAAAACACTTTGTTTACCCCGTGAGGGAAACCCAAACCAGCTCTCCTTGTTCCCTGGGAGGTCAGAGGTCAGGGCAAGTCAAGATTATGAGGCTGATGCGAACAATCGGCCTCCAAACGTTTTCCTGTATTGCCAACATCTGTGGCTCTGGGGTGAGGAACCTCTACTGATTCACTCAATCAGTCACTGAGTTCAAATCAAGTCCAATACAGCGTGATGACGCTTTCACAACTTTTGACCCACTTGCATGAAAGTAAAATGCAAGAAGTAGTAGTAGTTTTTAGTAGTTTGGTTTGGAGAGTTGTTGGCAGTTTGGCTGCCTTTCAGGTGATTCTACTCTGTTTTGTTGGGTTTTCCTCTTTGAACTTGAGATTCAAAATTAGTGCTGTCAGCGTTAATCTCGTTAAAATGACGTTAACGCCATAACTACATTAATCTCCGTTAGCGAGTTAGTGTGGATCGCCCCGTGCATGGGGCTGCACAGTGTCAACGCGTTTGCGCGGTTAGCTCATTAACGCGTTAGCAAATTGTAGATCTCATGCTCTCAATTTAACAGGTCAGTATTATCAGTCATTACAAAAATGTAGTTCCTCTAATGTCCACTAGAGGCTGGCTCCAAAAATAAGTCAGTAACTGAAACCCGGTTTAGTTAATAGCAACTGAGCAGGGGTGACTTTTTTTATTAAATTAAATAAATATTTAAATGAGCTGTGTTGACTCTGGACTGTGTTGACTGTATATGGCTGCTGTGCAGTTAAATGTCCATATCGGCTAACAAGTCTGTGGTCTAGTTGTGGTGAATAAATTTGAATATTTCATTAACCGTTTAGCATTAATTAGCAGGTTGTGTTCTCTGTACAGCCTATGGATGAAGATTGCTCGGTAAACTTGCTTGTGATAACACTTCACTACAAATATGGAACACCAAAAAAACAACATGGCCGTCTTTAAATGTTAGCATTTAGTAACTGTTAGCTACCAGTTAATCTGCGTGAGGTGTAAACACTTTTTCAAGACACGAGGGGAAAATGTCCATGTCCTATTTGAATTTCAGCATTATTCATTCTGACTGCAAAGGGTTACAATCATCAGCAATGATAACTTGGATTTCAGAGGATTAAGGCTCAAGTAAACTTGTTTGTCTTAAATTTTATGGACGTGTATCCATCTGAGTCCAGGTGTTTTTATGTGGATGCTCCTTTAGATGATCTAAATCTGTGCCAGATCTTGGGTTGCCGAGTCTTAGAGTCTTAGTCTACATGCTCTGCTCAGCCATATCGGAGGTGCCTGAATATTTTGTGGTTTAAAGTTTGGGCATGTATATAAATTACAGATCCTGATTGTTTTTTATGGTTATGTTTTTCCATGGTTTTTGAGTCATTCACATTCACACGTTGCCTCAGATTTGGTGGAAGTTGCTGGAAGTTGATCAGTGGACTATTTAAAAAAATATCTTGAAGATTACTTGGTATATGAAACTACAACTCTCACAGCAATCATTTTATATCCCCAGACTTGGAACTGTAACATTTTTAGGCCAATTATCGACGGCTGAGCAGATGGCCCGTGAGGATTTGAGTTGTGGTGACCCACATGTTGTAAACATTGTGAAGCTCTAAATCTAATTTATATATAAAATGATCTTGTGCTCTTCAGGTTTCAGATGTGGACGTGATCTGGATCTATAAATGCTCCCTTTGTGTTTCTCTTGAGGTAAAAAGTCTCACTTTCCTCGTGAACTCTCTTTTACATCTCCGTTTGCCTCCAGCTCTTTATCTCTCCTTCTGTTCGACTCTCAGTCCACCAGAGACTTGAGGTCAGGCAGTCCTCTCAGCTTCAAGTCCAGCAGCATCTGACCGTAGGCTTTGCCCTGAGGAGAGACAGGAAATGTGAAAGTGTGCATGCTTCCACCTTGGAGTCGTTGAGCTTTACGGCTGTGCGAGGTGTTAAAAGAGTTTCTTTGATGTGCAGCAGAGAGAAAAAGAAACTTTACCAATGCCTCTGATAAACAATGAGGGGGGGAAAAAAAGCAGAAACAAGGGAGGAGAAAAGCTTTGATGATAAAGGACACGACCTTAAGTATGATGAGAGGTTTTCGCACCTTTTAGAGGGCCTGGAGCTGTTCTGCTGTCTCTTTACCTTCATCATTTTATCATTTTAAGGCATCGTTTACACGTACATTTTGATCTTAAGTGAGCCGGACCAGTGAAAATACGCTTTCTGTCATAACTGCATATTTAATCCCTGAGATATCCCAATATTAAAAAAGAGGTTTTTCTATATGATGAAGAAACACTGCTGTAGAAAATGAAACAAATCTGTGTTCTAGAAGACATTAAAAGTGTTAAAAGTGCAAGGTTTGGTTTTAAATTGATTGGGTTTACATCAGTGGGCGATGGAGGTCTTTGAACACAGTGATCAGAGCTTGGTGGAGACACGAAGTCACACAGAGTTAATTTGACATAAAATCATAAGATATTGCAGTAAATTTACTGGGTCTGTGTCATGATAGCAGCAGAAATATGTTGTCATACAGTCATTTCAAACACTGGATCTGTTTTCTATCTTCTACACGAGTTTATGTCGTTAGTAAATCATTGCATTCGGTTTTGAAGTTACATTTTACACAGACTCAAACTTCTCTTTTGCCATAGACATGCTCTTATAATCGTGAATGCTCATATTATATACTTGCAAATAATATAAATCAGCGGTCCCCAACCCCCGTCCCACGAACTGGTACTGGTCCATGAGTCGTTTGGTGCCGGGCCTTGAGAGGTGAAGCTCGGGCTGAAATGAATGGTTTTCAGGGTTTTTATCATTAACTCGGTTTCCCTGGGTCTTTTCCCGTGTTGTAGTTGTGTCTTATTTTGAAAGAAATATTTATGCGTTACCATAGTGACCAGAGAGAATTGAGGGGCAGAGGGGAGGATGTTGCAGGAAATTAAATATTGGTTTTTGACCACAATTTCATGTACCCACCATGAGAACGTCCCTGTACTGACTCGGGGATATGTGCGCCTGATCGGCCCTAAAATCCTCTGGGTGCTGATTGGTTAAATTCAGAGGAGGCTACCTTTCCCTGAGCTTGGTTCTGATGGTGGTCATTTCCTTTTAAAAGGGGGTTCCTTCTCCCCACTGCTATCAAGTGTTGCTCAAAGAGGATCTCCTGATTGACGAGGTTCTCTCTAATCAATGAATCTTGTGGACTGCTGCTGCGAATCGACATGATATAAATTATATTTAAAATACTGGATCAAAAATAGGAGCTAGAAATGGATCAGTGGGGTGGTGCAGATATTTTGAGGGGAATATTACATCTCTGATGAAGTGCAGAGAGAAAGAGAGAGCTAAAGCAGGATGAAGAAGGAAAAGCATTTGTTTTTAAAGTTTGAAACACAAACAGCAGACTAAAGGAACACCTCAGGCCATGGATTTGCTCTTGTATATTTACATTACACCATAGTTTGGAGATGTTCTTATATGGATGAGGGGCAGCCAATCCAAACTGAGTTGGCCTAAAGAGGGAGGAGCATAAAATGGATTCAGACAGAGGATGAACTGAAGGGTTCAAAACAATCCTTGTCTCTCACGCTGGACTTGTGAGTCATACAAACATACCCTGAGATTGAGCTTTTTAATAATTGGTGTAAATCTCATGAGTGTGTTTTTATTTTTATTTTGTTAGTAATAAAAAAAGTTCCTTCACAGCCAACTGAATGACAATGAAGAAGAAAAGAAGAAACGTGAGAACCGCGATGGTTTTCAGGTGCATACAGACTGAAATTAAGCTGTAGACCCACTTTGAACCAGCTGCCCCCTTCCTCGCCCATTACATGAGCTCTGCAGAGACTGAACTTTCTCATTAAACTTTTACAGGCAGCGAATGGCTGAAGAGGGAGAGGAGAGGTGGTGGAAGGTGGGGATATTTCTTTCTTTAAACCAACTGCTTCAGGGGTTCGGCTGAGGATCTGATTCAGGTTAAAGTAGAAGGTTTAATGTCATTAAGTGTCCTCACAGATCCAGGAAGGGTCTGTATGTATAGATGTGTGTGTGGCCATGTGATACCTGGGGGTCACTGCGCAGAGAGGCCACTCCTCCACCTCCCAGTGAGCTCTGCAGGACAAAGTTAAGGCCGTGGATTCCTGGCAGAGTGTATCTGTGAATGACAAGGAAGAAAAAACTAAAAAAACCACACTCATAACCATGGTAACCAACACTTTAAAACCACACACGGTCAACCATATGTGTTAAAAACACACGCACACACACACACTGGCACCATGTGCTGGTTTGGCAGTTTATTGCACACGTAAATGTACCAAGCGGGCTTTTGATGTGTGAGCAGTTAAACGTGTGGTTTACTAGTAAAGTGTGTGTGTGTGCGTGCCTCTGTCTGTAAGCAGTTAACTGTGTGTGTGCATGTGTGTGTGAGTGTGTGGGTGTGTGCGCGGCCTCCCGCTGGGTTGACGAGTGCCGGAGGTGCACTAATGAAGCGTCTGCGGCGGCAGGGAGGCGTTTCAGGGTGCGAGAGGAGATGCAGGTCAGCGAGCTTTATGGCCTCCATCTCTTCATTACGCTAATCGCTAACACGCCGCGTGCTGAGTCACCGCTCAAACATGTCCGCCGCGGCCTTATACATGCTCAGGTACAGCCACGCCCACTAAGCTAGTGCTGCTCGTCTCGTCAAGGAAATTCAACAACCTTCAGCCAATCCAATGATAATAATTACAAAATATACAATAAATATAATAATAAATAATTAGATACCAAAAACCTGCAGTTCCTCTAACTGTCACTTGGGGCTCGCTCCTAAACTGAGTCAATCCATAGATTATATTAAAAATGTCCAGATTTTAACATGGGAGTAGTGAATCATCTTCATAACATCAGAGGTCAAATGGTGGCAACCGCAGCGTTAGCTTGATACCTCTTAGTTTAACTTCTGGTGAATAGCACCCTCTCTGGCCACAAGCGGTAACGACAGTAGATCAGAATAGCTACTTTCAGCTGCTCCTTTATTAACGACTTAATAGAAGAGCCAGAGCAGGCGTATCCACATGTTTGAGCTGGCAGATGTTTATTTGAGGCACGATTTTGTTTTATTTGAGGTTTGAGGTTAACCCCAGGTTTTTTTTTTTCTACAAAGGTGGTGTTGCTTCTTACTGGATTACATCACCATGGCAACTTATGCTGCTAATCGAATGGGCTAACAAACAATTTTACAATAACTTTGCTGTTCTGTAAGTATTATTATATAAATTGGGACACCGATTTGTGCTTGTGGAGGTTGCAGGTAGACTGAGCATACATTAGAATTAGGGCTGTGCGATATGACCAAAATCTCATATTCCGATATAAGACATCCATCGTCCCGCTAACGATATAAATCACAAAAATGTTACATTTTCTGAAAATTCTGTGAATCTCAGGCAGCTCGAC